TCACAGATGGACGTGTTGGCAGGGCGCGACTGTGCAGCAGCACTGCTGGCTGCCGCGAGAATGGTGGTGAACTTCTTGATCTGCATCTTGACGAGGAAGCGTAGTGTGTAAGAGGGGAGAGAGACCTGGGACGTGTGTCTTTTGTGTAGAGGGGACGGCGCAGCTTATGAGGCAGCTGCGCACCCTGCTTCCTACTCGCCCAGGTCTCATCCTGTCTTGCCGGCCAACATGACAAATATCAACACGCTAGCTGTCTCTTCATCCGCAAACCAATTTCCCATCATCCATCACCGACCGGGTAGCTAACATCCCGGGCATGGTTCCACACCTGGATGAAAGCTGGTATGTGTAGTTAGTCTGAATTGTCATCCTCTCCATTGGTCAGACTTCATGTCACGGTCTCAAAGGAGATGACATTTCAAGGCGCAGTAGCATTCCACTAGTGCTAGTCAGGAACGCCAGACGTCATGACTTTCGGCTTCTGGTCCCCTTTGATTGGGGCCCGACTGTTGTCCCGTTTGTGTGTACTTTGTAAGCGTGGTCAAGCGCTCCAACCTTATCCAGAGACAACTAACATCACGCTCAGCGATCTGAAGATCAGAGTCATCACGCTTTGGTCGAACCAACCGTATTCGCCCCGTATCCCTATCACCAGCAAGTCGCTCATGGTTGCAAAGGGTCCTCAGGCGAGTCGTGGTCCCTTGCGTCTCCGCAATTGTGAACCGGGAAACAACACATCCGGGGACTAGGACTCTATTGGGAAAGCTACCCCACCGATCGGCGCGGCGATCAGGAAAGCTTGTCAGCTAGCGCAATCGAGTGATCCTCCAGTCAAGATTCGAGGGGTCTGCGCCGGTGGACGAGTTCGAAATGCGTTGGGGCATTTTGCCGGAATTGGACAAGGAATTTAGACTAGACTAGTCTAGTGGATGCAGGGCGGGCAGTGAGGTAATGCGGGCCTAGAAAATAAAGCATGCATGTCTAGAGAATGAGGAGCAAGAATCCGATGCAGATAGATCCGTCGCAATACTCAGCCTAATTTGTATATTTCCGCGAGGAAGTCATTCGTGTTTAGGCGGTGATCGGATCCTTAGGAGAGTCTATGATTTTGGGTAAAATCCGGTGGGGAGGAGTATAAGGCGTAATCTATAGTAACTGGTGGAACCCCTAGATATATCCGAATTCTTTGAAAATACCGTAGAAAGGCGTAGAACGTAGATCTTACCGTTTTAAGGAGTAGCGGAACGTAGCCAACGTTATAACTACTATACCGTATAAGCCTTTATTACTACTAGATATAAGCTTTTCTATATTATAAGTATATAAGCTCCTTTTATATTATTACTAAGGCGTAGAATAGATCTCGAACGGCTACTTAACGTTATTATAAATATAAATTCGAACGATTCCTTATAAGCCGTTATAATAAGCGTAGTAGATTCGAACGATTCGTAAGCCGTTATAGTAAGCGTAATAGATTCGAACGAAGAGTAACCTTTTTCTAAGACTTCGAGCCTTATAAACGACGACGAAGATGTTAATATATAGCTATTATATACTAGTTCCGGTACTTAAGAGGTCGACCTTACCTAAAAGGCTACTTAAAAGGCTATTTAAAAGTATACCTAAGAGTCCTATACCCTTTCTTTAAATATATCGCTACTTTACTTATTATAGAACTCTTTTATAAGTTCTTTCGATACTACGGAAACGTTTAGGATTAATAAGGAATATTAACTAAATAAGCGATATAATTAGGCTAATAACGAAGGTACGCCGGCGCTAAAGAAGTAACGAGCTAAGAATACGGTTAACGGTAATATATTATAAACTTTATAAATCCGGGTAGAGATAGCTTCTCTAAGACGTTAAGCTACCGAATTAGGGAGGTTTATTATCGATAAAATTAGTAAAAAAGGTAATAACCTATTTTCGGACGTATACGAGGAATAAGTACCGTTCTTATAAACGTTTCCTAAAGCCGAGAATATAATTAGCTAAAAGATTAAGGATTATTAGTAATTAGAACGAGCCGATTTTCGTTATATCGACTAATTCGTAAACCTCTCTAACGAAGGCGTTAAGGTAAACTAAGTTATTAGCTTAATAAAAGCAACGCCGAATCGATAAATATAATTCTTTAAATCGTATCTTAAGTATCTAAGGAAAATCTAATAAGAGCTTTATTATTAGCCTAATAATAGCTACTAAGAAGACTTTAAAGCTATGTTTTTTCGCGAGAAGGTTATAGGATCGTATATTAAAGAGGTTAGCGAGCTTATATCCTCGTAAAGTAGAGAAACCGAGGAAGGAGAGGAGCTATAGAATAGGTAACGGGCTCGGGATCGCTATTATAACGAGAGGAAGAAAGAATAACGAGCCGAGGCGTAATAATATAAAGATCTAAATTATTCGATATACGATCGTACCTCTAACTTATCGGATATAATATTACTATTACGTAAAAAAAGGGACTCGAAGAAGGTCTTATCGTCTAATATTATTATTACTCTCGGTTCTTCTCTAAAACGATCGGTAAAGCGGTTAGTTATTAGCTAAAAGCCTACTAATTCTAATAATATTAAGTAGGCGGTTCTCGATATATAAGAATAATTACCGGAAGACTTAGAAACTACTACGTTAAAGTATATTCTCGATAAATTAAAGGATCCGTATTAAGCTCTTATATATAATTAGTTAAAACCGAGATTTAAAACTATATAAATTAAGGGCGAAATCGAGGCTTTTCGAGAAGAATCGTAAGAATCGTTATTCGTTATTATTTAATAATAAGATTTAGATATTTACCGGCGTAGTAGAAATAATAGTAATAGTTATAAAATTAATTTATCTTACCGATTCGATTTTATCGACTTATTCGCTTATATTTTCTAAAGTAATATCCTCGATATTCCTTACCTAATTATTATAAGAAGAGTAATTATCGCTATTACTCCTATTCGAAATATCGTCGATAATATCGAAACTATTATTAGAATTAGTTTTATCGCTAAACCTATCCTCGTCGCCGTTATCGCCCTAATAGTTCGAATCGCTTCGATAGCCTTCTCGTTAACGAAATAACCGCTTTACTATATTAACCCTTAGATCTTATATATCTATTTATCTAAGTATATAATAGTTAACCCGCTAATACGTTAGTTTTAAGTATTTACGATCGGCCTTATTAAGTTTTAGTTCCGCGTTTATCTTACGACGATACCGTTAGTTATATAAGGTAATTATTACGTATACGAACTTAATCTAAGTCTCGATATCGTATACCGGCGAAGAGCGTTTAATAAGCTTAATTATAACTTTAAGCTAACCGAACGCCTACTTAATCCTTACTTTTATAAAAGAATAACGATAGTTATATAACTCTTTTTTTAATTTAAGTAAGTTTTTAATAATACGAAAATCTTAGAAATAGTATATTATTTTAAGGAATAGTACTACGATTCCTCTTTTATTACCAAAGTTAACGTTATTTAGATAATAACGATTCGTAAGTATTACGAACGTCCTCGATATCGCCTAATTTAATAGTTTAGAATCGTTTATACTTCCTTCGGCGTTAGCTAATACGTACTAAAACGTTTTATCGAAGGAAATAACCGCGAAAACATTCTAACTTATATAACCTTTATAGTTACGTTAACGGTCTTACTCCTTAGTCGGTACTCTAATATAAATATAAGTACTATTAATAGTACCGATATATTCGTTAAAGGCGTTAAGCTTAAGGTTTAGCTCGATTCTAAGGCTAATATATCTATTTAGCGGTAGTTTTATAAGATCTTAATATAGTTCTAAGAAGTACCCGAATACTTCGTAAACTAATATAAATATTACCGACTACGAGATTCCGAACTAATACGCGGTATTTCTTTAGGTCTCGTTAAACGCTAATATCCAAAGGAATATTAATACTTTTTATACCTCTAACTAATATTATATTAAGTATAAAGTAGTATACCTCCGAAGCTACGTTATAAGATCTTAAAACGCTATCTTATCGATACGATATAAACTCTTAAATATATTATCCGGTAGTTATAACTACGCCTTTACGTAGGCTCTTACGGCTTTTAGTTTACTAAGGTAAGTAGGAGGACCTAGATCGCTTCTATATTTGATATTAGCTATTATTATTACTACTACGCCGAGGCTAACGAATATAGTAATACGTAGGAAGCCTTCTCTTTCTTCGAGATTACTTATCGCTACGGGTTACGTTATATTCTTAATAGTATTATAGAGGATATAACGGTTCGATTTAAGGGCGGCTAATATTTAGTACGTAATTAGGATTTTCCTCCTACCCGTAGTTATAAGCCTCTTTTTTAGATTATAATTATAAGTGGTAAAAGTAGCTATTTTCTTAGTAACTATCCTTTTTTCGGTGTATAAGGCGTAGTATTAGACAATTACCTTAGTATAGTACCCGTAGTATAAGGGGTAGATATACGAATCTTATAACGAGGCTAGATTTACTACTAAAATAGGGATAGTATAATCCGGAGCTATATTCCGGAATCTTACTTAATATCATAGCCTACTTATTTTACTCGAAACTATTCTCAAAAGCCATTTTCCGCTGGACCCGATCACCGCCTTACATTATAGGTATTCCGTACTAGGTGTTATAGCATCACGCCGGCAGTTGCTCAGCAGTTGCTCAGCAGTTGCTCTTACCCAAATATCGAAAACAAATCCTAAGAGTGAATCAATATATCATCCACCGTTGGGATGTTTTGTCAACGTTGTTGATCAAACCGAAGGTATTATGAGAAATGGCCTTTTTTTGGTCTGCCCTGCTGCTGCGAAAGCTAAATGAGGATCCGAAATACTACTCTTCGATTGCTTAATGCTCCCATGCTGCTTTTCGATTGCTTACAGCTCGCGCCAGCTGCTAGAATTGCTACAAGGCTTAGCAATATTTACTGCACCTCAGGTGTTGCTATATATATTGTTTACAAATGCTTGAATTATAATTAGCCGAAGTGGTCTAGTGGTATGATTCGTGTTTCGGGAAAACCCAGTCTTCCAAAGATTATATACGAGGTCCCGGGTTCAAATCCCGGCTTCGGCCTTTTTGCTTTTTCATGAGTTCTTCAACTAGCTAAGATTCCCGCAGCTTGGAATCTCGACATGTAACCCTAATGTGGTATGGCGGCCTGCTAGGCCTAAGGGTCACTGCGTCTCCTTAATCATTTTCCCATCCTAATAGGTTTCTCTCAATCGTAGCATCAATGCTATCATGAACCATGAACCCCCGAAACTACCATCATATTGGTAACACCGCTTCCGTCCGCGCAGGCTAGAAAACCATCGGTTTAAATCGATACCCGCTGCATCTCAGCAGTCGAGGCATAACCATCCATCACGACGATCCGTCAGAATCACATGCTAGACGCCTATCGTCATCATCGGGGTAATTCATCTCATAACCAGAGAAGATAACCGTCGAGCCTTACTTTCTCAAACAGACAGTCAGTCCAGTATACACCAGAAAGACAGTAAAGGATGACATTCACACCCACCGGTGCGGGAGAGGGAGTCATTTCATTCCGCCTTCTTCAGGATCAGTTCACCCAGGAAAGCCAACTATTCCATCATAGGCCAGAGCACACCACCTTGCTGAAGACTGATGCTTCCAAGGAAAGAGGATACACCTAGTGGTGTCGATAGCCCTTCTCAAGCAGCCCCCCCTGGCTGGATGGGACTTCCACAGGAAACTACCCCAGCCTGAGCAAGCCGTCGGACTGACGGGCAAGAACATTGCGTAATCACAGCGCTGATGGCAAGAAAGGTGACCTGGTATCAGAAAACGCCGCAGAGACGGTACCTTGTGAGATACCAAGGATGTGGTGCCGAGCAAGATGAATGGCGACCAAGACGAGAGCTTGTAAGATCCGCGGAAGAACTCCTCAGGGCATACGAGGCAGAACACCCGATCACGGACGCGGAACTGACGAGACCAGGCGGCAAACCAACAAAGTGGTCAATAACAGATAAACGGGTCATCACTATTCCCCGATGGAACATCGAGGTCCATATTCCTGGAAGAACGCCGACAGCAGGAACCGCAGCCTGACCGGTTGCACCTGTCAACCCAGGTATCGCTTTTAACCCATTGGAGCTTGGGCGCAAACTTTTCCAACTTGCGATGAAGCTTCTCTACCACCAAACCCTTCTCCGCCGCCAAACACTTCTCCGCCGCCAAACACTTCTATACCTTCATTTGGAATTGCCTCCGAAGGCCCTAAATCATCAGAGGCCATTCTTTCGTTCATTTGCTTTCTTTCTCTATATCAAGGCCGCTCCAATATCCATTGACTTTCACCGATAGCTTGGAGTTTCGCACTGGAATCTCAATCTAATACCATCCACCATAACCAACTGAATATCAGCATTTACTTTCCAAATCTTCCGCAATCGCGCTTTTCGACAAGATGCCTTCGATGCCGACATCAACGGAGCTGAAGAATGCAAAAAGCCCGACCACTAAAACACTGAACCGCGGATTTGTCGAGAATGTCGTCCGTATCCAGCCCGAACGCACGAATTTCCCAGAAGACGTACTGGATGTGATAATCACGAAGCTCTCAGGAATCAAGAATCTCAGCTTTGCCAGCTTTGGTCCATCGAAGAAGATCAAGGACTGGGGAAAAGGCGGCGATAAGGTCCCTACCCGTGAGGACTGGTTTAAGGCTATCGTCGTGTGGAGGCTACATAACAGACAAGGACTCGCTCCTCAGGATTTTCACCCCGAGTATGTCGAGGCATACCTAGCGAGATGTACGACAGAGCAAATTCCAACAGACAGAATCCCCCACCTGCTGGCACTATTCCCACAAAACCTGGCAATCGAACTACCACAAAATGCCCAACCCCTGCCAGTCATCCAGACCCAACCAGTCAACCAGACCGAAAGAACAGAGGAAGACATGATCTGGGAGCACGAGGCAACTCCACCCAGTGAATCACAAGGAGAGGAGGAAACCAACGATACGGACAAAGATTCCGACCAACCTGAGAGTGCCGGAACGGGATTTAGCTCAGACAGTGGTTCCGAGATCGTCCTCCAGGCCGGGGGAACCCATGTCTACCAGTACACAGATACTGACTATCCCATGGAATGGGATGAACCAGGATACAATGTCTATGACAATTCCCGTGACGGTGACAATGTCCATGACAGTCCCCGTGACGGTGACAATCCCCATGACAATGACCATGACAGTCCCGGACCAGTTGATGTCACATCGGCGAGGGAGATCGACGAGACTATCCACTATACCGATGCCAGTACGCAGACGGTCCCAGACCAATATCTCCGGATGAAAGACATTGCGGAGAGACTCACCAGCCGTAGTCTCCTCCAAGAAAAAGAAATCGCCGACCTACGAGAACGTAATCGAACTATGAAAGTCTGGTTTGACAGATTCTTAGCTGATGTGGACAAGCACGTGGGAGATTGGAACAAGGGGGTTGAGGAGGCGCTTAAGCCTGCGGGGGGGTCGCACGAGCATATAGAGGACATAGACAAGTGAGCACCGTGTTGCTTTGGCTTGTTCTGCTATGACGGATCGTCAATTGGTCGGGAATTGTTGGGTCACTACACTTTACAGCGACGTGGCACAGAGCTGGGTTTCTCATTTGCATTAGAATGCGGGTTATGCATGCACAGCATCAACACTTGGGACAGTTTATGGACAGACGGAGGACAATCACTCTGTTGGACGGGGAGATGTGGTATGGCGGGGCCTGCTATCCCTAAGGGTATGATCGTCTGCTTGATCATTTTTCCCATCCTAATAGTTTTTTCTCGAGCGGAGCATTAATAATATCAGGAACTATGAACCCCTGAAACTGCCGGCACCTTTGAGATAGAGAGAAACTTCGCAAAATCGGAGATAAGTCGGACGGTTAACATTATAATCGTGCGTGTCACTAAATAGGGTCTTGGTAGCTATTCTAGCAACAAACGACAGGTTCTCTCACTATTTTGACTCCGTCCCGTCTTCAGTCCCATGCGCCTTTAGGAAGTCGTCCCTAGACATCCAGCGGGACTCAAGTTTCACAGCTGGATGATCCTTCTGATCGTATGGAAAGTCATCACTTTCGGGACCTCCATCCCCAACATAGCGAAGTCCGTTCGGAATGTCCTTAGCATACCAGACAACATGTCTGGAAAGCCATACCCCTGTGTATTTCCTATCCTTTGTCCCCAGATCTTTCAGAGCCTTCTGAGTATCCTTCATCATCTTGTCACGAAGCAGGGTGGGATCTGTCGATAGTCGTCGTCTCACTTGTAGCGTCTTGAACAGGGCCTGAAGCTTCGAATTGAGGACTCGGTCACGTTCTTGACACCGGTGCGAATCTGTTGGTAGAGATTTGTAGAGTGTGGGCTCAAAAGTGAGCAGACTCTGTAAATCAACGTCGGGCTCAACCCAAATGCCATTGGTTTTCTTCACTTTCTTCTCCTTGGGATTGACGGCCCTGTTGCGCTCTTGAGTCTCATTACCCTTCCTACACCAATGAAGCAGTAATGGGAGAATCCAACTGCCTGTTTCAGCATCCCGGGAGAGACATATCTCCGGGTGTCTCTCAAGTGTTGCTCGGAACCGTGATCGCACTTCTCCCTCGGACCAGAGTTTACCGCTTTGTTTCTCCTGGTTCCTCATATACACCACCAACTGGACAGGCCCATTCTTGCTGAAGCTAGTGTTACTCTTTCCTTGCTTGTTCTTTTCCACCATGGCGAGGAAATTGGTCGGATGCTGTATTTCCACGCCAGCCATGACGCACGCCGTATTCCATAGAAGATCATGGTATGCTCCAACCGCCTCGTTATGGGTGTACATGAAGTACTGGGTGTGGTATGAGAATAAAACCAAACGGCGAATCCGCTTAGTTTCCTTCTCCCGAACGACGATAATGAAGGGCCTGTGTGGTACACCCACGACTTCTGTAAACATGGTGAAGTCTTTGAGCCGAAGCCTGACTTTCACTTGCTCCAGACTATCGTCTAGTTGGACGGCGTCCAAGAAAGCCTTGGCGTTGTCCTCTCCTATGAGCATGATGATCTTCGAGTGACCATTTAACCATCTGGAGAACTGATCGCAGCGAGACAGAATCTTCTCCCAATGAGGGTAGATCGTGTCCCATGACACGCCATTCCGTCCGTATTGCTCGCGGAATGGGATTCTATCTTGTGAGCGAACAAACGGACTCGGTCCGAACTTAGTGTACTGGACGGCGATTGACGGGTTCGTTCGGTCCATCGTGTGGCCCCAGTCAGCCTTGTCAGTAGCGTAGGTTGGGTAGTGCCAGACACATGCCAGCACTGCATTGAGTGGTCCAGACGGTTTTGACATCTTTTTGTGATTAACCACTCCCTCCGAAAGCTTGACCACATCATTAACCAAGGAGGCCCATTCCGAGTCAATCTCTTTGTCGTGAGTGTCCCACTCCTCGCCAGCCGGTTGTGTAAGGAAGTCATCCATGTGAACAAGGGATTTTCCACGGGTCTCTTCTTTGCATCGAATAGAGAAATCCTTCAGCTGTTCTTTGCACCCGTTGTTATGGACGGTTGGCTTGAACAGCTGAAGGAAGAGATCTTCCCAGGAGCCCGGTTGAAGATCGTTGACGCCCAGAGCTTGCAAAACTTTGCGGATGTGCTGCTCATGACTTAGGGTTGGTTCACGAGAAGCAGGGAGGAGGGTAGCTGGTTCGGCCTCGTCCAAATCACCCGAATCAAGTTGTTTTTGCTTAATATTCTCTTCGACCCGTCGCTTCTTGTGACTGGCAAGAGAGCCTGCTTCCGCCGATCTCTTCGATGGCTTGGTTGCTCGGTCGGGCTTGAGTCTTTGCGTGGTCGGAGATTCCCAAGAATGATGCGGAGCCGACGTGCGGTTCTTGACAAGGTTGGAGTTGTTTCCACCTGAAGTAGGAAGGGATGTGCACTTCATGTCGTCCGGTCCATCCACCGGGGCGTCTGTCTCCCACTTCTGGGATATTCCACCGGCGTCCAACCGTCGAGCGTCAGTGATCATGGGGTGCGTATAAGCCTTGACGAACCATGAA